GGACTGGGCTTGGGTGGCCCCAGAGGACAGGCCAGAGCCAGCGGCAGTGAGGGGGAGCCCGTCACCCCAAGCCCGGAGTACGGAACAGCTGCCCCCTGGCGTCGCTCTTTCTGGTGTCCCTTCCACTTCGTCCTGCTCACCAGCGCTTTCACGCGCGCTCCGCTTCCTTGGGAATGTGGTCAGGCCTGGAGTCATGACCACCGCACTTGGCCTGACTTTAGAATTGCATGGGTGGAAGGAGCCTTGAAGGTCATTTGTCCGGCCTTCAGTCCCGTGATGGAGTCCCTTTAGAAGTTCCTAACAAATGGCCTCCCAGCCCTGCCAGCCACCCTCCCGAGTGCCCAGGGTTCCTCCCCCGCAGCCGCTCCAGGCTAAGCTAGGCCAGGGCTCCCTGCAGTGAGTCTGCGCCTCCGATGCTCACGGCTTGGCCAGGGTCTGCCCACTGGCACTGTCGGAATAAGCAGAAAAAGCCTTTCCCCTCAAGCCCCCAGCCACGTTGTTTCCACTCAGAGCAGCTTCTCAGCCTCACAGCCTCCTCATCCCTGCTGCAGTTTGTCCATTTCTTCAAGGGTTTTATGGAGATGGGGGCCTGGAGACATCAAGTCTTCTTTCTATTAATCCTCACCAAGGATATTTTTCCACTGATACTTAGATAGAGTGGAAAGGAGGAAGGGAGAGCGAGGAACATCGAACCTGCAACCCAGATACATGCCCTAGATGGGGAATGGAACCCGAGACCCTTCGGTCCGTGGGCTGACACTCTAACCACTAAGCCAAACTGGCCAGGGTGAGACATAAAGTCTTTATAACAGGAAGGGACTTTGGAATGTAGGAACCCACCTTATTTTATAGATGAGGAGACTCAGAGGTTAGGTCACTTGCCCAAGGCCACGCAGACAGCACGAGGTAGGGCTGGGCCTCAAGCCCTGACTCTGCTCTTGCCCTGCCACCCGCTGACTGGTGGCCAGCACAGGGCGAAGGGAGCTGGTCTTAGTTGCCACCTTCTGTTATTGTCCAAGATCACATTTACCTTTTTGGGGGGCAGCCCCATCTCCCTGTTGACGTGTTGAATTTCAAGTCGACTAAAACCCTAAACTGTTTTATACTTTATTTTCTTCTGATGGTAAAAATAATATATGCTCATGGTAAAAAAAAAAAAAAGAAAAAAGAAAATACATAAAAATATAAAGTATAAGCCTTTATGGCACTTCCCATTGGAAGGTTTCCCCACCCTGCACTTGGTTGCTTTGTTTTTCGGTATAAAAATACTACCCTACCTTCATCCTCCGTAATACCCTCTTGCCAGGTCCTAGCCAGCTCCCCTGTCTCTCAGAATCTTGTTTCGTTACCCGTTCTTACTGGCACCTGGGCAGGCCTCAAAAATACCCGGGGTGGCTGAGTGAATGGTGCAAGCATCCATATTGCCGATGGAAATACAGGCATGCCTGGTTTTAGTGTTATTATTATTTTTATTCCTCACCCGAGGATATTTTTCTATTTACCATCAGATAGAGTGGGAGGGAGGGAGGGAGAGAGAGACAGAAACATCAATGTGATAGAACCACATCGACTGGTTGCCTCCCGCACAACCGACCAGGGCCGGGGAAGAACCGCGATGGAGGTACGTGCCCTTGACTGGAATTGAACCCGCGACTCATTGGTCTGTGGGCTGACGCTCTAACCCCTGAGCCAAACGGGCCAGGGCCAGGCACGCCTCGTTTTATTGCACTCGCTTTATTGCGCTTCACAGATACTGCCTTTTTTTAACAAATTGAAGGCAAGGCCCTCCACCAGCAAAAAGATTCCCACTTAATTTACCGAGAAGGCCTGGAGCCGAACCCATCGTATCTCTGAGGCATGCCTGTGGTGAGATTCTGCCCACCTCCTCTCTGGGTCTGATCCCACTTTTTTCCTTCTCAAAACACCTCTCTTCTTCTGTTCTATTCACATCTTCCCATTTTCCCAGGCCAGCTGGATCCTACCTCTTCCAAACAGTTTTTATTCTTTCAGACACAAAGGTCTTTTCTGGGTTCCCCGGCAGCTGTGGCCTGGCCATACCATTTGTCCTTAGTTATATATCGACTGGCACTAATCTCCTCTCCTGGCAGGGCCCGGATGCCAGTCGGCGGGGGAACCCCACGCTACTCTCCCTCGTGGCACTCATCCTGTGGTCCGGAGCCGATGAGGAGCCCTCAGAGTGACTGGCTGAGCCTGTTAGGGAAGGGCTCGGGAATGATGTCCCACCCTCCAGCTTCTGAGGAGTGGGGGAAAGAGCTCAGAGGGGGTCCCAGGACCCCACCCCCAACCCCATCCCTGGCTTCCTGGAAGTCTGTCCCAGCTCCTCCTAAAGTTTACATAGCAGTTAATCATCTGGGCTCCTAACAATGGGCTCTGCTCACTGTGGGGCATGTGAAGATGAGATTTGGTTTGTCTCTCACATAGCGGCTTGCAGAGATAGAGAAACCCTCTGTGCCTGTCCTGAGACACAAGGAGCATGAGCAGTCATCTCCAGTCCTCTGGGCTTCTCACTGGGAGCCTTTGAGGTCAGATCAATGTTTTCCTTTCCCTCCCAGTACCAGAGCACCAACCGTTTTCAAGCCCTCTGGACATCATGCCAAGGGCCCCGGCCTGGCAGCTCCTTCCTTGTCCATCTGGCAGGGACACCGTGGACATTAAACTGGGACTCAGGGGCCAGGGTCCCCAGAGCAACAAGGTCTTCCTGAGCGATCCTGAGTAGGTGATGGAGACCAAGTCATCTCTAAATTTCCTTCTCCTCTGAATTTCCATGCAGTCTCCTGGTCTCTGCATCACATAGTTCTTCCAAGCATAGACCCTGAGCCTGTCTGGTTTGTGTCCAGCTCCACTGCTGGTTGGTCGGACAGCTTGGGCCAGCCACCTACCTTCTCTCTGCCGGGTGGTGATAAGCCCCCACCTCAGAGGGTGGCCAGAAGATTGAGCTCATGTGCACAAAACACAAGTGTGCCTGGCACAGAACAATGCTGTGCAAGTGTGGCCCTCCCTACAGCTAGGTGTCTGACAGGAAGGGACATGAACTTTGTGCCCTATTATTTGCAAATGCGGCTCTTCCTCCTGTGGTCCTGGCAGGCTCCTGGGAAGAGAGGCCCGACTGGACTTCTCGTGAGTGTACCCGCCCAGCAGACAGCCATGTGTCAGGATGTGGGAGCACCAGGCAGGCTGAGAGCCCCAGAGGAGGCCCCCCGGCAGCCCAGGGTCAGCAGGCATCGACTGTCGAGACCACAGGTAGGCCACCTAATCTGCTGGGGTCAGGTCCTGTCTGAGCCCACAGGTACCCATAAAAGGGTAAAGCTTGGAATAGAACGCATCAATTGTTTTGATTAATTTTCCTGCAAGTGGAAAAAGAGGCCTATAAGACAAAAAAGCAGAAACGGAAAAATTTTCTTTGATTTTAATAGTTGGGGAGAAAGATATAAAATAGATAACACGGAGCCTTGTGACTCCCTTAGATTGGCAACGAACACAGGGATACAGAAATGTAAACAAACAGAGCTACCAGATAATGTTATTTTGTCCTATAGAACTTCCAGAATACAGCAGCTCCTACACACTCTAACGTAAAATAAAATAAGAGTCTTTCATTCGGAGGGAATCAGCGAGGCTCCTGGCCCTCAGCTGGGGCTGTGCCTCCTCTCCCCGGGCATTCTGCCTGGGGTGTGGCTTCACGAGGGCCCAGCTGGCTGTCCTGGGGACCTTTCCAGTGCCTTCTCGTTCTCCGGCAGGCTGGCTCCAACCCCTGCCCAGCTCTCCCCTTTGACTCGCACCCCCTTCCTGTTAGTAGCAGGAAACCAGCCAACCTAAGAGAGCCTGCCCGAGTCCCTCATGTGGAGCCACTGGCCCAGAGGTGATGCCTCTCTCCTTAGATGTTCAAGACCCAGCCTTGCTATTTGAACAATAGTCAGAAAAAAAGCTATAAATATAACTTATTAACCATTTAATGCTGTCCTCCCTCTACAGGTTTCTGATATGTCTGGTTATTATTCTGTCCCAATTTTTTGCTGCTGTCCTAGGTTTTTGTTTTTGTTTTTAATCCTCACCTGAGGACATTTTTGCATTTATCTTCGGATAGAGTGGGAGGGAGTGAGGGAGGAAGAGAAAGAGAGAAACATTGATGTGATAGAGACACATCGACTGGTTGCCACCCACACGACCCCAGCTGGAGCCGGGGGCGAACAGCAAGATACGTGCCCCTAGCAGGAACTGAACCAGGTCTCTCTGGTCCGCAGGCTGATGCTCTAACCGCTGAGCCAAACTGGCCAGGGCTGTCCTAGGGTTTCTGACTCAACCAGGAAAAAAGCAGGCCTTGCAGCCTAGGCCTGGACTCCCTCAGTGCCTCAGGCCATGGGCTCTGGGCTCTCAGACTCATCCCACCTGGCTTACCCCGAACACTACAGCTGGACGAGCCCTTGACCTCCACGATGTCTGCAGCAGGAGACAACACGGCCCTTGGTCACCCCGAGGCTTGCCTACAAAGATGGGGGCAGGAGGCAAAGCCGCAGGCGGAACGAGCAGATGGGATGTGCTCTCCCGGTGACGGGACAGACAGAAAAGGCAGTGCATCCTCCAGGCAGGGCCGGAGGAAGGACTCAGGTTAAACATCTCAGGCAGCACGAAGTGTGGGGAGGGTCAGGGCAGCCACCCCAGAGCCATGGCATGGAGGACGTGTGAAATATCCAGGATAAATAGAACCGTGTGGGGAGGGAGATAAGCCAGCTCCACCCTCTCTTAAAAATAGTCGCCATCAGCACCAAAAATATATTAATATCTATACATTTGTCATCTTTTAAAAAAAGGAAATAAAACCTCCTTGGCACCTTGTCATTGATTTCTTAAGTGAGGTGATACGTGGAGAGGCCTCTGCGTGTGCAGGCGCACACGTCCGCAGCTGTGCACACACGCGCACCCTGCCGGAGGCAGAGCCCCCAGCGGCCCTGAGCATCAGGAGCAGAGCCCAGCAGGTCATCGCCCAGCGCCGCCGCCGCAGAGTTCACAGGATGCTTTCAGCCAGTGCTCCTCACTGCCATCCACGGGGGACCAGTAGCCCCCGGCCGCGCTGCAGAGGCGGAATGAAGGTCACAGGGTCACCCTCACACACCTGCTCTCAGAAGAAAGTGCTATCTCTGCAGGTGTGCTGCTTCCGGTCGAAGGCAGTCCTGGCCTGGCCCCTGCCCAGACTTACACACATCTGCCCATCATTTGGGCTTCGATCAGCCTCTGCCCGAAATACAAAAATGCAAACACAAGCAGAGGTCATGCAGGGCCTGAGGGAGCACCTGTGCCTGGGGGCTCCAGTCCCGATCACTGGTGTTCCAGCAGGAGGCCGCAGGAGGGTGGACTGGCTGGGCAGCAGGGTGGTGACCCTTGGCCCCCCGGCCTGCCCAGGCTGGGCCGGTGCTCTCAGAGGTGGTGGTTGCTCTGCAGCAGGGAGGTGACGGTGTTCTGCAGGGCCACGGCCACCTTCTTGGAGGTCTTGCGCAGCAGCGGGCTGTCGGGGTGGTGCTCCTTCAGGTGCAGGACGTGGCCCTCCTGGCTCTCGGATGTGCAGCCACACTCCTCGCACACGTACAGCTTGGCGCGCCGCTCCTTGTATGCGTACTTCTGCTGCACGCCGTGGATCTTCTTGAGATGAGACTCCAGAGAGCAGCGCTGAGTGAAGGCCTTGTCACACAGGCTGCATTTGTAGGGCCTCACGCCTGCAGAAGGACAGGGCTGGGCGTCAGGGACCTGACAGCAGCTTCCCCGACACACCAAGGCCAGGCTGCCTACTCTGGGGAAGAGGAAGGGACGGAGGCCTGTCCATCTCCAATGCCCTGAGTGACCTAACGGATGAGCTGACGAGGACTTCTGCCCTGTGCTCCAAGATTCCCCCCAGGCCACCCGTTCCCCAGAGAGCAGGCCTTGCTGCAGTGTCCCGCGTGGCCTCAGGCAGGTGCCCAACCACGGGGCTCCTCTCACCAGTGTGGGTGCGGACATGTCTCTTCAGGTCGAAGGTGTCATTGAAGCCTTTACCACAGTAGGTGCAAAGGTGCCTCTTGACATCGTTGTGACACTTCATGTGGCGATTCAGCATGCGCTGGTAGGTGAAGGACTTCTGGCAGATGTGGCAGGTGAAGAGGTCTCCACTGGGACTGTCCCCCAGAGTCACCTGTGGGCAAGGACAGTCTTTGTGACAGATATCCAGGAGTTGGGACTACAGGTTGGCAGATCAGCAGGACACAAATGCTAACCCCCAGACCTCCAAGAAAATCACTGCCCACCCCAGAGGCCACAGCTCTGCTATTGGCTCACAGAGGTCAGCGGGGACCGGGCAGAAAGAAACCATTAGATCAATGGTCAGCCTCCTGTGGGGATCCCAAGTTCCCTTTCAAGGTTGCCACCCAGCCCCTTCTCTTCTGGAGACGGGCAGCCAACTCCCTATGTAAAGCCAAACACCCTCGGTGACTCAATCTGCTAGAAAGTTCTCCCCTTCACCGAGCCCAGTTCTTTCCCTGTAATGTCTGCTCTCCATTCTCATTCTGTGCTTTGGACGGGGAGAAATGTCCTCTCACCAGTGACACGGTCTCCTGGGCAGCCTGAGCCTGGAGTCCCCTCCAGGTCAGCCCAGCCCCCTGGTTTTACTTGAGCCAGGCCTGACATGATATGGTTTGAGTCCCTTTGCTACCCTGGCGACTCTCTTGCTTATAAATATTTTTCAATTTCTTTTTTTGTAATTATGGAAAATCTCAAATTTATTCAGAAATGGAGATGTGGGCTCAATGCTCCACCTCTGCTGATGTTCTGAGGCTGCTTGTACTTTGTGGGTGGCCATCACTGGCTCCTCCTCCTGAGCTCCCTGGGCACCAAGTGCACCCTTCACACTGCACCGCCTCCCTCTCTCCTGCTCTGGCATCGAGTAAGTGCCCCTCACAGCCAGCCAGTCAAGACCAGACCACTCCAGTCCACCCGCTCTCCCGTGCCCTCTGCTCTCTGCACTCCCTCCCTACGCACTGGGGCCAAGGCTGGGAGGAAGGCCGTGCGGGGGACCAGGGATACTGACTGCTGGCTTTCTGGTCAGCCTGGCACACATCTTGGTGGTTCTCCTTTCATTACAACACTCACTTGGCCTCCACAGGAAACAGAGGAAGGAATAGTGTTTATTCCTCTGCCAGTTTTCTCCAGTCTCTTGGCACACAGGCTAGCGCTTTGAGAAACCTTCCACTAGATCGGAGCTGGCAGGTGCCTCCACGTCCGGGAGCCAGGGCCAGCCCTGCTGTGTGAGCACTCCTCGAGAGCAGAGGCATCTCCATTGCTGAGCGCAGCAGAGTGCCCACCAGGCCTGCCCTGGACGCGAGGCCAAGAGAGACTGTACACGCCTCAGCGGACAGCCAACCACCAAGCAGACTCCAGGCCTCACTCGCGATGCAGCCCGGACAGGGGCCCAGGAAAAGATGTGGAGTCAGCCTCATGTCTCCCTGATTTTCTTAGGACGTTGGTGTAAAGAGGTGTCCCCCTAAGGCCAGAAATGAAACCAAACCCCCAAAATAGACTCCAAAGGGTTCAATGTCTTTTGAATCCTAGGACTTCTTCCCAGTGCATGACGTTCTCACCCTGTCTAGGCCCCAGCGAGTTTCACTTCTCTGCAGAAATCTGGACCCAGAGCCAAGGCCTCTCTACCTAGGTCTCGTTGGTGCCACATCTCCTGGGCTGTACACAGGGCTACATATGCCCTGTTGCTCAGAGACAGTGGGAGGGTCTGTACCTTCATTTTGGTGCGTAAGAAGCCATGGTCTCTGCTCTGGGGGTCCGCTAAGCGGCCCACGTCTTCAGAGGGCAGCTGGGCCACCACGCAGGGTCCGGAAGTCACACTATAGCTGGAGTCCCGAAGGCTCATGTCCAAAGCCAAGGGGCAAGAAGGGGGTTCAGCCACTGATGGCTCCGGCGCCGGCTCCGGGTAGGGCTGTGGTGGACAGAAGCCCAGGCTGACTGCAAAGAGAACAGCCAGGTGAGGGGCTTGGCGGAGAAAAGAGGATTCAGTGGCATTTCAGGAAGGTTCCCTGGCGATTAGCTGGCTGGAACTTGGAGCCTCCATTCCTCCCCTTGTAGGCATGTGGCAGAGCAGGGCTACCCCCAGCCCACTACACACTGCGCCTCCCTCCTGCCCCATTAAGGTAATTACAGGTGACGCCAGCCAAGCGCCACGACCCACAGGCCTGCCCGCTGAGTAATTTGTGTCTTAGCGGAACTGGGAGGACCAAGCCTGCCCTGTCAATTACCCCTCCAGAGCTGTCCGCCTGCCCCACCTGGGCCAGTCCCCCTGGATTCCAGGCCTCATCCAAGCTCCTGCAGGAACAAAGGGCACCACGGGAGGCCCTGCGCCCAGGAACCTATCCCTGCCCCAGAAGGGTTCCTGGTGGCCTGGGCCACTCTGGACCTCTCCTCCAGGCAGATTTAGCTGCTGGCCTGGGAGGACCGGGTGCTCCTAGCCCCTCCTCCTCCCGACTGGCCAGCCCTGCGGTTGTAGCCCACGAGGGCTCCAGGCGCTCCACTCCCGCTGGCCCAGATTGGCAAGCAAGCAGGCCAGGTGGGGTGGAGCAGGGAGGAGGTCAGGGAGCAGCAGGTGGATGCTGCGTAACAGTCTCCCGGGCGGCCTGCCCAGCTGTTACGCAACCCTCCCCCACAGCAGGGACCGCTTGCTGTGGCCCAGTGAGGGCTGGGCTCCCGCCCTCCTCCTGCCCTCCTCCTCGCACCGATACCTGGCAGCCTTTGACGTGACCACTCCCCACGACAAATGACACACACCTCACACTAAACGGGGCCGAGGAGGCTTGGCCCGGGTCTGACTAGGAAGGAGGAGGAAGAGTTCTGAGCGATACAGGAAACAAGTCTGAGAGCTGGCGGCTGGGGCAAACAATCTAATGTTTCAGTTTAGTCAAAAACGTTCTTCCAAAAAGGCAAAGCTCTGTACTTACAACATATAAGCTAGGAACACTTTCCAACCCTCAGAAGGAAAAATCAAGAAGGGCAAGAAAGAGACAATGAGTGAACTTCAGGGAGAAGGACTTAGAAGGTTGAGTCGGGGTGTCAGATTCATGACCGGGTCCTCTGCACCTGCTGCCCACAGCTGGTGAGACAGAGTGGACCAGGCCCCAGGGCAGGGCTATTGCCCTCACCTCCTCTCCCAGGACACTGCGACCAGGCGGGGTGTACAGACGGACATGGGGAAGGTAGAACATACTGGAGGGTGAACAGGAGAGCACCGAAGTTTCGGGCGAGGCCCCGGCTTTCGCCCCCTCAAAACACAACAAAGGTCTGACAGGGGAAGAATGCACCGGACCGCCGCCCAAAACCCGTTCTGCTGGCACTGGCGTCCGTCTGTCCGGGGGACTTTAATGAGCCACCTCATTCTGGGAGTTGATTCACCAGTGCCTGGCCCTGGCCTGGCCTCCGAGATGGTGTGGTGCCTCCCCAAGCCCTGGAAGGCTGGACATCAGGCCCAAGCTCTCGGGGGTCCCTCCTGTATGTGTACATGGGCTGGGGGGCTGGGGGGCACAGGGGCGTGTCCGAGTGTTGGCAGCTTCTGTTGCCAGTTTAGCAGCTATTAGAGATCTTGGCCAAGAATTCTAAACTGAATGACAATTTCCATTTCTCACTCCGGGTAGAGACAAACAGGAACCTCGACCCTCTTCTGTCTTTCGGTATCAGAGAGCGTGAGTGAGGCTGCGGAAGACTGGGGCTGGGCCACACCTCCCGACACGGGGCACCAGAGGGGCAGGTGAGGCCTAACTGCTTGTGACTCTTGGTTCCCCTGCTCCAGTAAATGAGGGGGTCATGGTTGGGGTTCGAAGGATCCAAGCCAGGTTGGGGGGAGACTCTGGACCTGCGTCTCCCACTACATAGAAACCTCGACATGATGGTGCTCGGCGTGGGCCCGGCGTGAGCCTGCCTGGCCTCGGAGCCTCCTCTCTCCGCAGCGAGGGGAGCCTCAAGGCTGCCAGGGTGGGGATGTTTGCCTCATCCCAGCCACCCCGCCAAACCTGTCTTCCCACTACCCTGCGTGTGTCCCTGATGCTGCACGCACAGGGAGTGCTCATCGGCGTGCCGCTCCTGTCACTGGGTGTCACTCGGTGGCAGGAGGCAGGAAGCAGAACTGGTTGGGCCCTGCTTGTGCGCCTGGTCCCCTAATTAGATGTTTCCGGCAAGGCGGTGGCTGCTGTGGCTATTCATTGCCCGCCCACAGCGTGGAGTGTGGCAAGGCCAAACCAGCCTGGCCCTCTCCTCACCCCCTCGGGGTTTGTGGGCTCCCCTTCTGTTGGCCTCCACCAGCATGGCATTGAGGGCAAAGGCCCGGAGCAGCCTCCCACCCAAGGGCCTCCCCTCTCTTACCCTCAGCAAGTCTTGTCTTTCTTGGATTAAAAACAACTGGGCCAGACTAGGGTGGCTCAGTTGGTTGATGCGTTGTCCTGTGTACCGAAAGGTGGTGGGTTCCATCCCACATCAATGTTTCTCTCTCTCTACCCCCCATCCCCTCTCTCTAAAGTCAATAAGCATAGTCCAGCCAGTGTGGCTCAGTGGTGGAGCGTCAACCCATGCATCAAGAGGTCGCCGGTTCGATTCCCGGTCAGGGCACATGCCCAGGCGGTGGGCCAGATCCCCAGTCGGGGGCATGCAGGAGGCGGCCAATCGATGTTTCAATCTCTCCCTCTCCCTTTCTCTCTCTTTAAAAATCTATAAAGAAAAATAAATAAATAAATAAAACCAATAAGCATATCCTCAGGTGAGATTAAAAAAAAATGTTTTCTAAATCCTTACCCGAGGTGCCCAGGCCAGTCTGGCTCAGCGGTTAGAGCGTCGGCCTGCGGACCAGAGTCCTGGGTTCGGTTCCCGCTAAGGGCATGTACCTCGGTTGCAGTTTGTCCTGGCCCCGGTTGGGGTTGTGCAGGTGGCAACCAGTGGATGTCTCTCTCACATCGATGCCACCCCCCAACTCTATCTGAAGATAAATGCAAAAATGTCCTCTGGTGAGGATAAAAAAAAAAATTAAATTCTTACCAGAGGATATTTTTCCATTCATCTTCAGATAGAGTGGGAGATAGGGAGGGCGGGAGAAAACGAGAGAGAAACATCAACGTGAGAGAGACACATTGGTTGCCTCCTGTACCACCTGGACCAAGGCCAGGGACCAAACCGCAACGGAGGTATGTGCCTCTAACCAGAATCGAACCTGTGACTCTTCCGTCCATGGGCCAATGCTCCAACCACCGAGCCAAACCGGCCAGGGCAAAAAAATTTTTTTAAAGCTACTGGGCCAAATACTGGACCGAGTGCCTGGTCCTGCTCTGTCTAAGGCCTCAGGCCAGGGCTGGGCATGAGGTCTAGTCCCCAGCTTTCTGGGGAGAGAGTGCAAGTGAAGCAGAGGCCTGGACAAATAGCCTTTGACCATGGGGCTGCGGCTGGTGCTGACCTGAAGGGGGTGCTCTGAATGGGGTGGGGGGGCCCAGTGTGTCAGTACAGCCCAGGTTGGTATCAGGCAGCCTGACACCCTAATCAGCAAGGGCGGGGGTCTCGTGCGCGTCTCCTCCAGCCCCAGCAGGTCAGCTAGCAATGCCCGAAAGGATGCCAGTGCCAGCCAATTGGCAGAGGCCACACCCTGGAAACACAATGGGTCTGTCCCTTGGCCTGGTGTTTCCATTCTGTGAATGCCACGTTTTCCTCTCGGGCAGTATCTTTTCCCCGTTCCCCACCACTTTTCGTACGGTGCCCACAACGAAGGTGAAAACTGTGCACCGCAGCCCTCACACCAGGTGGGCAGTCCTGACCAGCGGGAACTATGCTCCGTTTTCGTCCTTCCCACCCTCCCTCCCTTCCAGCACAAGCCTGGGCACCCTGTGGGACACCATATGAGACTTGTTGGAAGTGAACAGTGTTCAAAAGAAACCCTGTTACCGACAAAGCCCACACCTCACTCCCATCCCATCCCCCCCCAGAGAACCGCCCTCATCAGCTCTCTTTCTAGGACAAATGATCTGGCAGGATTCTGCCTTGGGCCACCCTTGGTTAGAGTGTTGTTCTGATACGCCAAGGTTTCGGGTTCGATCCCCAGTCAGGGCACATATAAGAATCAACTTGTAAGAGTCCAGTCGGTGTGGTTCAGTGGTTGAGCATCGACCCATACACCAAGAGATCGCTGGTTAGATTCCTGGTCAGGACACATGCCCAGGTTGTGGCCAAATCCCCAGTAGGGGGCATGCAGGAGGCGGCCAATCAACGTTTCTCTCTCTTTCCCTCTCTCTGTAAAATCAATAAAGGGGGAAAAAAAAAGGGGGAAACGCTAACCTGAAAAAAAAAAAGAATCAACCACTGAATGCATAAATAAGTGGAACAGCAAATCAATGTTTCTCTTTCTCCCTTCTTCTCTCTCTAAAATCAATAAATTAAAAGAAATCATCATCATCATCATCACCAGAGGTGTAATTTCTCCCCACCCCCACGCATGTATTCTGGGGCCCAAAGCTGACTTTCTCAGCCTTTCTAAGGTTCCACACTGCCCAGTTAGGGCCAGGCTGAGGAAACACCAGTCTCCCACTTAGTAGCCTGGCTGCCTCCCCAGGTGGGCACGAGCTGATGAACTGGCAGAACAGAAGGCAGAGGCTCAGATGAGGAGGGTGGCTGGGGGCCTTGCCAGACTGCACTCAGCGGGCTTGGAGGACCTGCTTGGAGCTTCTCCTTCAGTCTAGGAAATGGAATTCTGCCCCCGGGGTACAAGTGGCTGGGTTCATCCTCAAGAAACCAAAATACTCCCAGCATTCCACAGTCAATATTGACATAACAAAGGAGGAACACCACGGGAGACCATGGGGCAGAGAGGAGTAAAGGGCCCAAACAGGTAGCATCTTAACCTTAACTGCAAACCCTTTCAACACTCCCAGCGTGAGTGGAGCCATCTTCTAGCCCCCTGTGGCCCTCCAGCCACTTCTGGGCTTTCCCGGCTTTGGGAGGGCAGGGGGGCCCCCGGGAGAGGTTCTGCCTGGGGTCTGGGAACCTCTTGAATTGTGCCTCAGGGAGAGGCTGGAGTGCTGGTCAGAGCAGACAGACTGGGGCCCAGGGCCTTCAGTCAGTAAAAATGACTCCTTCCAGGTGCTCTCGGGTGCTGTGAGGGTCTCACAGGGCCTGGTGGGAAGGTCAGACCTCAGGCACTTCCCTGTTCCCAGCCCTTCCAGTGCGCCTCTGGGGGGGATGGATGGGGTCAGTGCTCAGCTGGTCAAAACGTGCCCAGTCTGTGAGGTGGGGTGAAAGAAACGTGCCCAGCCGGCTCCTGGGGTCACAGCCGACTGGTGATGGATGGCCCAGCCAGGGGACAGGCCACCACAACCCCCTCCCCCCCACTCTCCAGCCATCTGAGGCGCCCGAGCGTGGCCCCAGAACATTCCATTTCTCATTTCCAAAAACTGTGGGAAAACTCTCCAGTGGGCCACATGGCTTTTGAGGCAAAATTAAGTTCTTTAACTTCTACCCTTTAATTGACCCCACAGGCTTCTCCCTCGCCAGAGCAATGAGGACAAATTCTGACGTGCCCCGTCCAGGTTAGACCCTCACCCGATGTCTGAAGGCCATCCTGCAGAGTGAGTGGCCTGCCGGCCTCCCTCACCTGGACAGCAGCAGTGGGCGACACACCCAGAAGCCCTCCTCTACACCCGATGGGACAGCCCCTGGGATGTGAGTCTCCTCAGCCACTCCCACTATGGCCACCAGAAGTGTGGTGGGGAAAATCACTAGGCAAATGAAAGTCAATGATTTCAAAAAACGGAATTTCTTTGTCCTTTGTAAAAGTCAACACATGATCTGTTCCTGATTGGGATGTGAAATAAAACTAAAAATAACAGCACGCTGAGTGTCCCAAAAGGCTCTCAGCTCACCTTTACCATAGTCCAAGTTTATCAGATCCCAAAGAGCAGCTAAGCAGCAAGTCAAACACAGGTGAGGGAGGAGGCAGGAGAGAGGAAACCGGAATACCAGCCAACTTGCCAGGGAACTTGGGGAAGCAAGAAACTATAAATAAGCTTGGGCCCACACTCTAAGCCATTTCAAGTGAGGAGGCAACTCACTTTCCTTTTTGTCTCAGTTTCCCAACCAGAGTCATCAAAGATTTGTGGCACATTCCCTTGTTTTAAGGAGGCTATAGAAAAGGGGTCTCAAGGCTTGAGATAAGCTTGAGCTATGAAACATCCCGTCAGCGTCTCAGGCCTTCGGATCCTGCTGGATCAGGCCACAAAGATCTCACCACTACACCGTCTCCCAAAATGTATTCAGGCGAAAACGGAGGCAAGAGCCCTCACAGGGCCCCCACCGCCCTCATTTCTCCACTTTCCTTCAAGGCCTGGGGTGGTGCCAGCGGATCAAGGGTCAAAGTCGGTTGGTTAATTACAACCTCTCCCCCCTTGGAGGCGCTGGACAGGGTGTTCGGCACACCCCCGCCCCACCTCCAAGGCCTGGGGAGGGGGCGTTCCGAAGGAAACTGGCTTTCTCCAGACGGAAGATTTTGGTGGGGGTGGGGAAGCCCACTAGGAGCAGAAGCATTCTCAGGGCTAAGAGAGGAAGATGCCACTGGAGGAAGAAAGAACTCAGGTTACTCATTCAAAGTGGACTCCGACGCCGCGGTCAAGGCGTCTTCCAAAAATAAACTGCACCCTTTTCCCCGAGGCCTGGTCCCCTGGCTGTGGCTGGACTCCTTAATTCCACTCTCAGCTCGACTGTGTCCTCCGCAAGCTTGGAGGAGGCGCGTTTCTGACAGAGGTGAGACCTGATCCCACCTTCGTCTCCAGGGCAAGTGGGGTGCAGCCCAGCGCCTTCCCCCTGGTCCCCGAGCACCCCGCCGGCCCGACCCTCACCGCGGCGACCTTCTGGCCACTAGTGTTGTTGGGAGAGGGAGAGATCAATGAAGGCAGCTTACACTCTGGATCTTCTTTTACATTTTACACAAATCTCAGCCGAAACTCCAGCTCGCACCCTGCCCCCCAAAGTGGCATCGTTCCAGTGCCCTCTTCCCGCCTCATAAAAGTCCCGACTTTCTGGATTTACGACGCCAGAGTGGAGGGTCGCCTCAGCGGTGACACACCCCGTTGCCTCCCCTGCGCCGCGGCCCGGGCCGGGGGAGGGAGGGCAGCCCCGCCGAGCCGAGCGCCTAGGACCGGCCTGCTCCCCGCCGGCTGCTGGGCCTGGGAACTGCGCTCGCCCCCACCTGGCGGCCCCCGTCCCCCGCCCCCACCCAGCATCCCCTTCCGCCGCCCCTGCCCTCCCCTCCCCCGGTGCCGCGGGTTAACGGGCTGCGGCCGCTTAAACATTAAATCGGGCGCCCCAACTACGCGGGCCGCCGGGCTCGCGCCACTGCGCCCCGCAGGTCCGCCGCCTCGACGGGGCCTCGGGCTGGAGGGCGGCGGGACCGGGCCCGAGGCCGGGCCTCACCTGGCACGTAGATCTCGCCGCGCTCCTCGTCCGGGAGCTCGCTCCAGTTCCTCTTGCACGTGGAGACGCACGGCTTCTTCACTAGAAACGCGCGGGGCATTTTCGAAGCCCGCTCGCCCGGCACGCCCGGTTCCGTAACCAGAGCCGGCGCGCTCCCACCTCTCCCGGGCGCGCTGGAGGCGGCCGGGCCAGGAGGCAGGTCGGGGAAGGAGTCGCAGAGGCGCCCCGCGTTCCGCGGAGAGACCGTGCCCGGGACGCCGCGCGCGTTTCCAACTCCTTCGAACGAGGTCGCTGCGGCCAGGTGCACGGACGACGGGGAAGCGGCAGGTAAGCGTCTCCCGGCCGGACTGGCGTCCCCCGCGGCCGCTCGGGAAGTCCTAAAGTGCGAGCCGGACGGACGGGTTCACGCTTTATTGGCTCGCGGCGGTGTGTGTTGGTGGCTGGGGCGGGGAGCGGGGGTGATCCGAGCTAATTAGCTAGGAGTGGCCTGGGGAGCGACGGCGCATGCGTTGGGAAATAACGGTGACACCTATTTGTTACCTGTCGAACCGGTTTTCATTCCGCTGCTAGTGAGGTGGCCTGGCGGCCTGGGCGGGGTGGCCGGGCGGGGGCGGGGGCGGGCGTAGGGCACCCAGCACCCGGCTGCCCAACCAGCCCTGCCGCCGCCGCCCGCCCGCACCTCCCCGCCCGGGTGCAGCGCTCCCCAACGGGAGTTTGGGAGTTTCGGAGGGAGCAGGGGAGGGGAGGAGGCAACGTTATTTGCACCGGCGCTCGCACGCTCTGCGAGTGATGAAACGAAACTTGCCCAACTGGGTCCGGCCCGGCCCGGCGCGCCCCGGGCGCCTGGGGAGGCGCGAAACCGTCGGGCGGGAACGAGCGCCCGGCCCACACTTGTTGAACCCGGCCTGGGCCCAGGTAGCCCAGGATCCCAAAGGCCGGCTGAGCAATTCGTGGTTCAGCTCAGAGGTATTTGCTGGGGCGGGCTCGGGGCGGGAGGGCACAGGAGGCTGCAGGAGCTCGCAGGCCGCTGGGCGGACCGGCGGCTACACACAGGGCCGCAACAGAACACTGGACACTGAACACTGGCCGGAAAGCGTGGAAGGCTTCGTGGAGGAAGGGGGAAGTTTAAACCGCTCTGAGTCCACCGAGATCCCGAAAGACCCCCAGGGCCTGAATACACATACCAAACCCTCATCTTTGTCCCACATGGATGCATTTCAGGTGCAGCAAGCCAGGAGAGCCGTGGACTCCTTAGGATGTCAAGCCCCGCCTGGCTGCAGCCAGGACAGGAAGCTCATGGAGGTATCCCCCCATAGCCCACCCTTGGCTGAGGTTCTGCCTGGGTCCTTCCGTAACCATTCTTCATGCTCTGCCCAGTCCTCAGGCCCAGCTGGAGGGAGACCCACTCTCAGAACCTGCAAAGCACTGGTGGCCTCCATGAGACTTGTCACTGACAATTTGGCCTCAGCTGAGTTTGTGTTACCAACTGACATAGTCAGAGCAGGGATTGGGACCCCATCATCTTTTTAGCTCTCTCCCTGCCCCCATGTAAAATAAACACCTCAGAGTACCTGCCACAGACGCACCTTCATCACCTATTAAATGTTTGCTGGAAAAGATTAGGAGGAAATGAGACTGAAACATGAATTCACAGAGTTCAGAAGTCACAAGTGAAAAGAAGGGTAGCCTGCTGATGGTGTATTTTGAGGCATCCAGTTGAAGAGAATAGTTTTTCAAGGGGGTGGCTTCCAGCGGCCCTTTCCGTCCCCCAACAGGATTCCCGTGGAGCATCTGGCTGGTTGGGGAGAGTGTGGACCTGGGGAGCAAATGAACCTCCTCCTCCACTCCTTCCTGGAACCTGGAAGTTTAGCTAAGGGGCTTTCCTTTTCACCCTATTTCTTTGTCTGTCACCTGAAAATCCTATCGCCTACCTCTTAGGGTCCCTATGAGGGGGATATGGACTCTGGAGGAGGACATAATATTCACCCCACCCTTCCCTTTCCTTTCCCAGGGCTGTGCCTTCAGGCAGCCCATGCCTGCCTGTCAGCCTTTCACTCTTACCCCAGACTGTTTCATTCAACTGGCATTAAGTGAGCACCTACTATGTGCTTATCTTTTGAATATATCCTGGAGAAACAACATTGACTAACAGTCTGTCTAGGAGAGAGGTGAATTTAGTTTGTTTACTCAATAAATATTTATTGAGCACTTTGGTTGTGCCAGACTCTGACAGGGGCTGGTACACAGTAGGTGTTTAGTACTTAACCAGGGTCTTCAGGGATGACCCTGGTTAAGAGAAGCAGTCTTGCCCTGGCCGGTTTGGCTCAGCGGTTAAAGCGTCGGCCTGCGGTCCTGAGAGACCCAGGTTCGGTTCCCGCCAGGGGCACGTACCTCGGTTGCAGTTTGTCCCCGGCTCTGGTCAGTCGTGCAGGTGGCAGCCACTCGATGTGTCCCTTTCACATCGATGTTTCTCTCTCTCTCTCTGTTCCTCTCTCTCCCTCCCATTCTACCTGAACAAAAAATGGAAAAATGTCCTCGGGTGAGGATAAAAAAAAAAGAGAAGCAGTCTTTTTCATGGGTGGAGGCTGGGAAGCAACTCCAATGTCTCTACTTGTGGAAAGAAAGTTACACAGTGTTTGGAATGAGGCCACAGGAGGGAGGGATGGATGTTTGTCCATGCTGTCTATGGCTCTCTCCACAACCTACTTTGTGCCTGGCATAATGGGTTAGCAGTAACATTTATTGAATGAACGAATATCCTATTTTTCTTAACTCATATGACCCATTCAGCCTTTCATGTTCCTTTGGTATAGGCATGGATACAGAACAAAGTTCTTTTTTTTTTTAATTAATTTATTTTTGTTACAGATGTTTCTTCTTTTCCCCCCACTGATTCCCCTCCCCCTCCCTCCCTGCCCTGTCCCCAGCTTTGTTGCCCATGTCCATTGTTCATGCATACACGCATATAAGTTCTGTGGTTTATCTCTCCCCCATCACCCCCTCTTCTGGGGATTGTCAGTCTATACTCTACTTCCACGTCTCTGGGACTACCCCATTCCTCAGACTGTTATGTTCATTATATTCCACAGATAAGTGAGATCATATGATACTTGTCTTTCTCTGTTTGGCTTGTTTCGCTTAGGATAATACTTTCCAGGTCCCTCCATGTCATCTCAAAGGATAAGAGATCTTTCTTTCTTACAGCTGCATAGTACTCCATTGTGTATATGTACCACAGCTTTTTTATCCTTTCGTCTACTGATGGATATTTGGGCTGTTTCCAGATCTTAGCTATTGTAAATAGTGCTGCTACGAACATGGGGGTACATATATTCTTTCTGATTGGTGTTTCAGGCTTCTTAGGGTATATTCCTAGAAGTGGGATCACTGGGTCAAATGGCAGTTCAATTTTTTGAGGTAACACCCTAATTTTTTCCATAGTGGCTGCACCAGTCTGCATTCCCACCAGCAGTGCACTAGAGTCCCCTTTTCTCCACACCCTCGCCAACACTTGTTGTTTGATGATTTGTTGATGGCGGCCATTCTGACAGGTGTGAGGTGATACTTCATTGTGTTTTAATCTGAAAGTTCTTTATTATAAGGAGGACAATTAGTGCAAGTTCAGTGATAAAAGGTGATTGGCGCTGGCTGTCAGGGAGAGACTAGAGAGTGGTGGGGACTATGGAGAATGTACCTATTTAAAGGGGTAGTGACAGTTGTGCCATTTGAGCACAGAAACCCAATGGGCCACATCTGTTCATTTTCCAAGAGAAGCAGAAAATCCAGGTTTGTATATGACCACAATGAGTTTTTAAAAGTTGACTCAAAAATTTTTAATCCTTACTCGAGGACATTTTTTTACATTTATCTTCAGATAGAGCAGGAGGGAAAGAGGGAAGAAGAGAGAGAAACATCGAAGTGAGAGAGACACATTGAGTGGCTGCCACCCACACAACCCCAACTGGGGCTGAGGACAAACTGCAACCAAGGTATGTGCCCTTAGCAGGAACCAAATCTGGGACTCTCCGGTCCACGGGCCAGCGCTCTAACTGCTAAGCCAAACCAGCCAGGGCGACTAAAAAAATTTTAAAACATAGAATGAGTCAAACAAAATACCTATGTGGCCCGGCCGGTGTGGCTCGTGGTTGAGCATCGACCCATGTACCAGGAGGTTGCCGGTTCGATTCCCGGTCAGGGCACATGCCCAGGTTGTGGGCCAGATCCCCACTGGGAGACATACAGGAGGCAGCCAGTTGATGTTCTCTCTCATCAGTGTTTCTAGCTCTCCCTCTCCCTTCCTCTCTCTCTCTAAAATCAATAAAGAAAAAAAAAAATTTAAAAAAAAAACCCTACGTGGGTTAGATTTGACTCAGACTGCTGGCCCGTTGTTCATGGGCAGCTCTGGAATAATGTGTGTGAACTTGGGTGAACACCAAAGCCAAACTATGGGATCCGTGAGGGCACTGTCTGCTCTGTTTGCACAGTGCCAGTTAGATATCATTCATTCGTTCCTTAAATTAATCAACAAGTATTTATTGAACACCAGCTATACACTAGGCACCTAACCTGTTAAGGTAAATTAAAAACTGAGGACACTATTAGTGTGACACAGGACTTTAACTAGTGATGGAATAGTGACAGGTGGGGGTGCTGAGATCTGAACAAGAGGTAGGAGCCAGCTGTGTAGAGCAGGGAAAAGCCTGACCTGCAAAGGGAACAGCTGGTGCGAAGGCTCCAGCGTGGGAGTAAGTCGTGTGTGTGTGTGTGTGTGTGTGTGTGTGTGTGTGTGTGTGTTGAACCGCAGGGTGAGGTGGCTGGATGCTGAGGGTGTGGGAACTGAGGGTGCAGAAGCAGGTGGGCTGCATCATGTAAGGCTAGTGTGGTGGGAAGGTTCGGGGTCTGGTAATGGGACAATGGAGTGTGTCAGAGTGGGGGTGGTGAGGGTGGCAGTAGGGAGACCAGTGAGGGAAGCAGCAGGTGATGTGGCCTGGGTCAGCTGCCAACAGAACCATGAGCGCTGACTCTAGGTTCTCAGTGGGCACCTCTCCTAGGCGTAGTGGACAGGGGTGTGAAGGAAGGTGGAACACCAGCAGGCAGGTGAAGACTATGCTCCCCAAAGAGTGCTTGGCTGCGGTCCATCCGGAGCAACCCAGGGAAAGCTAGAGGAGTGGGATGCAGGGAGGCAAAGGTTTGGAACCAGCCCTTCCTGACCTAGAGAAGGCTCTTCCGGGAGGAGCCTGGCGGTATGGGGCTGAAAGAAGGAGGGCTTCTGGAAGCTGAGATGTGCTGAAAGGACACGCAGTAAGGAGCCCTGGGCCAGTCAATGCTCCAGACTCTTGGTCTTGGGACCTGGGCCA